TTTGAGTTTAATAAAAACTATAGATAAAAAAAAATTTGATATTTTATAAAAATTTTTATGTGGTCTAATACTTTTGGGTAGGGAGTGTATATTACCTTTTTTATATTTTTTATCTGCTTTTTCAGTTGTTTATAATTACAAGTAATTTAATTAAGAAATAAAAAGTGAAAATTAATTATTAAAACAATAATAATATAGGTGACAAAAATAAGGTGATGATACTACATATGTAATAAATAAATTATTTTAAAAATTAAAATATTATCTTTAAATAATAATATATATAAATAAAAGTAATTATTAAAAAATTTTTAAAAATATTAAAAAATCATTATAAATTTTATATATATAGATAACATTCAAAAAAATATATTATATATATATTTATAGTAAAATTATTAAAAATATATATGAAAAATATCAAATTTTAATTAGAAATCATAAAAATATAAAATTTTAATTTAATAATTTTATGATTATTTTTTTATATTATAAAATATTAAAATACATTTATTCAATTTTTATACATTTAATCTTTATATATTCAAATTAAGAATACAGTATATGGATTTTAATAAGATAATAAATTTAATTACCATTTGAATAATAATGGTTGTTACCAACATAAATATGATTAACTACATAATGTAAGCAAGCTTATTTTTTTAATATTGACATTTTATAAACGCTTAAAACCGTCAGTAAAAACGATTCCCAAAGCTCGTTTTTGAAGTTATATACGTATTGTAATTTAAGAAAAGCGAGCATACTTATTTACATTATCCAAACAAAGAGAATTTTTATTTATGCATAAAAAATACAGATTCGATTTGATAAAGTAAAAAAATTTTTTTATTTAAACAGGTGATCTTATTTAAATTTTAGGTATCTTTAAGGTTTTACTAACCATAGCCATTCCGCTCAATCCATATAATGAAACCAAAGGATGAAATGTAAAACCTTGAGGTAATTCAATTTTCCCACCAAGTAAATTCTCATCTATACGTTTGTTTTTAACAAGATAAGCAATTAACGCAACTATACTCAGGCTCGTTGGTATTGGTGTGCCTTCAAAATAGTGAACTTTGCCGGATTTATCTTTGGGAAGGGACGCTACTGTTGCATTATAGCGTGCTAGACGAGCGATTCCACAAGATATGAAAATTATTAAAATAACTGAATCCAAGAAAGTTTGCATGCCAACCGCAAAAGCACATACTGCTGGAGCAACACCAAATGATATCTACAACGTTGCAAAACATACAATTATAAAAAATTTAATGTAAATTTGTATGTAAAATGATATAACTTACCAAGTCCGCTAAAGAATCCAATTCCTGTCCCAAGATACTAGCGGTCCTTCTCCATCTTGCTACTTTCCCATCAAAAAGATCAAATATCATTCCTAATGGCATTAAAAATAAGCTTATCCAAAGAAAATTTTCATCTCGTGTGATCAAATATTTTATGCTCGAAAAAATTGAAGAAGAGCCACATGCACCATTTGCTATTGTAATAACGTCTGCAAGATGAAAATTGCTAAATAAAAAACATTTGGAAATTTTATAATAATGATTATTTAAATTTATAAAGATCAATTATTTTATCGAATTTTAAGCTTACCGTACTAGAGAAAAATGGTTATAGGCTTCTGTTGTTTCTCCTTTGCTATCTTTTTCAGCTTGATGATTTAATTCTGCTTTCGACATTTTGATCAATTAATTTTGCAAAAAAAAAAAAAAAAAGCGGGCATTTATATCGTAAAGATTAACAATGATGTAATAAATATATCGCAAACTTATTTCATCATGCTTCTGTCATAGTTGCAACGATCATGATCATTTTCATAAAAAAAAAAATATATCTAACTTGACTAGTAAAAAAATAAACCCCTCCCCCGATAAAGGGTATGTACTTTTTATTGGAAACTTTATATTTATTGCATTAAAAATTCTTGACAAATAACAATTAAATGAATTAAAATCATTTATTTTTCTCAATCTTGGTTTACTATTTTTGATCTATAAAAATCATTTGAAATTAATGACGAAAGTTAGTAATAAATTTTCCCCCAAAATTATTAAGATACAAACCGATATTGGTCAATATTGTCCTTTGTCAAAATCACAAGTTCACGTTTTGTTAAAGGCTTTTTAGTCAATGGGCAGATGTTCTTTTTGGTTTCAGAGGAAAGACATCGAACCCAACTGTCATACCTATTAAAAGATAAGCGAAACGTGATTAGATAAAATATTTTTCTCAAATAAAAAAGCAAAAAGACATACCCCATCACATGTCCATATGGAGAAATTGCTGGTTTAACCACCGCTTCTAATGTTATTGGATCGATGAATCCAGGTAATGGATTGTCATCTTCAACATCATCATCCATTTCAGTATCATGATTATGGGGCCCTTTACCTAACGATGATTGGGCTCTTGTTCTTTTTGTTGTATTCCATGATTTCAAAATATAGCTTCCTGAATCATCATAATCAAAATCATCTTCTTCGTCGTCGTCATCAGAAGTAAAGCCTCGTCTTTTGTTGCCAGCTTTACGTTTTTTCTTTGTAGGTGCTGTTTTACTTGTAGATTGTGACGACGTCCTTTTCCGAGAAGCACTTCCATGCTTAGTATGTGTTCGGAAAGTTTTTTCGGTTTCACCGGTTTTTTTGTTTTTAGTGCTGAATAAGAAATGGGCTTTACCCTTCTCATCGAGTACGTAATTAGGGTCTTTGACACGTCCTGTCTCTATCAGTAATCGATAAAAATTTGAACACTGAAAAAAAAAGGGTATAAATATAAAGCGTGACCTAAATATGATTTGTTATGTGAATAAATAAATTACCTGATAACCAACGCGACCTGGGATTGCCATCGAAAATATTCCCCATTGGCCGTCTGCACCAATTTCTTTCAATCGTTTGAAAAATAGCTCCTCCTCCTCCTGAATTTCAAAATATTATACTTCTATTAATACGGTTATATAGATTTAAACCTAAAATCTTGTTTCAATTATACCTGTGTCCATTGTCCTTTCTTCTGTTCTTCACCAGGAGCATTGAATCGATAATAATAAGTGTTAGGTTTTGTATCAATTGCTTTATATGCCTTGATTCGAGCTTCTGACCAACCCTCAAATGCCTTTTCGAGATCTTTTGTGTTATCTTGAACTTGCTTCAAAGCATCGTCTAATGCAAGACGACCTTTCATACGGTATTGTCTAAAGAATAGTTAGTTTATCCATGTAAAATGGATGCAGGAACTAAAAACCAAAGTACAAAACCAATCAGAGTGGTCTAAATATGTACTTTTTGGCAGTTTCTCCTGTCCATTTCTTCAAAGTTTCTTTTCGTTTCTTTAAGAGCTGTTCATATGCTTCTTTTTGTTCGTCAGTCATCAAATTTACTAAAAAAAAATACAGTTGATTAATAAAGGTTCGAATTACGAAAGAAGTGAAGAATATTTTCAGAGATTAATTTCATATAATTAAATGACACATGCTATGATAAGAACGCATATTCCTTTCAGCTATTGTTTTACGAATTTCAATAAGGTAACGTGGCTGTGTCATTCTTACAATAACTTCTTCCTAAAATTTTTAAAAAAATCATTTTATATTTTCGATGATAATATCTTTAAAATATATATTCTCTCTTTTTAAAACCTCATCATTTTCACAATCTTTGAGCGCCTCTTCAATTTCTTCGTCGGATACAAACTCAAATACAGCTCGAATTTTTTGTGACTTTCGTTCTCTTTCACGTCTTTCGAACTCTGCATACTGTTCAAAATGATTAATTTTTTAATATACGGTAGAATTCAATTGAATAAGTTTACCTGTCGTTGTTGCAATGCCACACGTTTATCTATAATGTCTTGTTCTGACTCAGTGACGTCTTGTGCAAACAAACTTGTTTTTCTAATTGTTTCGATTTCTTCACTATCAATTGTCATCATCATTAATCGAAAGTTGGTGCGATTATTTAATATTATTATTAATAAATTAAAATCACCTTTCAGTCATAAAAATCGGATTATTGTGATGATTTTCTTCCGATTGTTCACTTTTCTCTTTTTCATGCATGTTATCTTTAAGCCTTTGCTATATATTACGGTAAAAAAATTTATCAAATAAAAAAAATATAAAAAATAAAAATAAAAAGATACGTAAATTTACCGATAAGTCAGTTATAAATATTGATGCGGGAGGGTTTGCCGCTGTCCAACTGACAAAAGCCGACTTTGTCATTGTTTTGACGAAATCTTTAGATTTTGACGAGGTTAAAATAAAACCAGAATAATAGTTTGTTAAAAGGGGACTAAAATATTGTACTTTCCAGACTTCCTTACCTTCGGGAAAGAATTTCGTGCGTTGTCTTTCCTCTTTACAAGTCATAGAAGCGCTTCTTGTGGGATAGTGGCCACGAGCCATCGAAGCTACTTTCTGAAAGTTTATCGTAACTACTATTTGTAGTTGATTGCAATAAACTGTTAATACTAAATACTTAAGATTAACAATTTTATCGATTTTAGTGGCTTGTAAAGTCACTATTAGCTTCTATAATTTTTATATTCGCGTGGCTCGCGTTATTTTGTTAGGACTTTACTTTAAGTAACGAAAAGCACCTTTCGTTTGTAGACGCGTAAATTTTACACCTCAACTAATAAACAACAGAAATCAGCGGAACGTCTAACGGTAATTAGTAATATATAATCACGTGATAAAGAAATATCTGATGCGTCAAATATGATTGGTTTAGGATATGAAGCATTTTAAAATTTGTTAATTTAAATTATTGATAAAAATTTAATTAATTTTAAAAAAATAAAATCCATTAATAATTTTAAAAATTTATAATATAAATAAAATTAATTAAAATTTATTTTTTTGATTATTTAGTTAACAAAAATTTGTTTAGAAACTAAAAATTAATAAGTTAATTAAAATAATTTAATTTAAAATTTATAAACAAATTTTTTTTATAAATTTATATATTAATGAATTATTTTATATTGAAAATCCATAAATAAATGTTATAAAATATAAAAATTATAATAAAGTTTTTTTTTATGAGAAATTTAAATAATAAATTTATATATTTAAATATTCAAATTGCATAATTAATATTATAAAATAAACTATTATTTCTATAATATAATAATTTATTATAAAAAATTATTATTAAATACTTAATATCATTAAATTTTTTTTAACAAAAAAATTTTTAATTTTTTTCTAAAAAATACTATTGTAACCGGGTGATGATCTTGACGATCATAGATCTACAAATGTATAATGATGTACAAATATCGATAATATCAAATATATTTAACATGTTTAATATGTTTAATATAGTTAATATAGTAGATATGTTTAATATAGTTAATATAGTAGA